AGCTTCGAGACTTCAATTAATTTGCATTTCATTTGATAATTTGTAAAGACAATATTATTAATTCTTGTCAAATTGCGTTAAGTTCTAGCATACATATTATTATTACACTTATTTCGACAATCTCACTACCGAATATAACGACGTAAGATTAAAGAAAGGAATCGAAATTATGCCATCATATTTAACATCTTAAAATTTACGCAAAAGGAAGAGATTATAATTATGCTTGAATTTTTATGAATTTAATTCAAAATTACTAGTACCATACATTAGACCTTTCTACCTATAATAATAATAATAATAATAATAATAATAATAATAATAATTTTACGAATAATAATTTAACGAAATGTTACGCATTTATTATCAATTTATACTTAAACAAAATATAAATTTATGTGTACTCACATTTAAAACTGTTATAATTTGTTCAATATAATTCAAAATTATGTAGAATTAAACACATTAAAAATATTTTATATTAACATTACATAAAATGATGACGTAAATTATATTATTTCCTCTTAAATAAACAACGCATTTGTATGTAAGAACGCTCATAATAATTTTTAGAGAAGCAGATCTTATCAATTATGAAGAATCAGATTCAGTTATGCTTAAAGTGAAATTTGCTAATCGTCTAATAGCTTTGAAAATGACACATCAATGATTTACCAATGTAATCGGCCCATCCCGGTGGTATTACTTTTGGTTGCACGACTTGCTGCATTGTACGCAGAAGAAGCTATCATTAAGGTTGTTTTACATTATCTATATTTTATAAAGATACTATATCTAAATTTAATAAAAATTGAATAAAAAATAACACAATATTGTCATCAATAACGCGCAAGTGTGTATTTGCAATAAACTGAATTGCAAATATTTTCTGCACAGATCTTCCGATTCTGCATTGAGATAATTACAAAATTACGCTTTCCGGTCTTCAATAATTCTCGCATAATGAATTTATTGATAGTTCAAAACCAATACGAAACTCTCCACTTAAATTCGCATTCCGATATGAATCTCCCACGTGGTCCAGTAAAAGTAAATTCACATTTCAATTTTCCCCGTTACATTAAAGGTGAGAAATGGTTAATAAGTAAGTTTAAAAAATAAAGCTTATTTATGATGACATTAAGGCGCAGAAATATTTAATTTCTGGGGGAGGGGTAGATATTCATTAAAAAATTTTCGCTTGTCACCAAAATTCATCATTTTTTATACCTGTTCCGAAAATATATGCACAACAGGGGGTAAGAAATCGCTTCATCCTAATAAATATAATATGAGTAAAAAAAAGATATTACCTACTAATTACTTTTTAAATTAACTTTTTGTGCTTATAATTGTTGCATAACGTAAACATTAATTCACAGAAAAATTGTAGTATTACAGAAGTTCTTAGTAATATTTTAATAAAACATATAATTATATTATCTATATATTAATTAGAATTAAAGAAGTATTTGTTAAATAATAAAATATTTAAAATTAAAAAATAAAACATATTTAAAATCTTCAATAAGGAGAGAGTTAGAGATATGATGATCTATTATCATCATATTTGATCACAAATATTTAAATAAAATAAAATAAAATGTTTATTTTTTATTCCTGATAATTATTTTTTAATTATAAATAATTATAAATAGCGACAAGTTTTATTATATTAAGGGATTTAGTATTTTATTAAATTATTTCGTTTTGTACTGTTACCTATTTAATGCTTTATGATAATATTTTTTCTCTCATTAATGAGTCCGATGAATAAGGATGATCAAATAAGGATTCAATAAGGATGAAATGATGACACATAAATTAAGACACGTTATGTTTTTAAACTGCGCGAGTAATCTATACATAAGAACGCATTTTGACAAACAATCGCTCATTTTGGGCGTTGTGAATGCGCCTTGGCGGATAATCTGAAAAGTCTGAAGAATACTTGCTGAATACTGAAAACTGGAATCACCAAAGTGACACTTTTCTAGACTCGATGTCGAGATCTCGTCGCGATTGACTGCATTGATTTCATTCGGACTGGTCTCGATCGAAAGCTCGTATCAACATTATGTAATGAAAGTGTTATTAGATTTTTCATTAGAACTTTCGTTTCCGAGATATTAAAATCGGAAATCTGACGAGGCAAAACTTCAAGATAAAGCTAAAAGCGGTAGCGCTCGACAGTGCCGTATACTCAAAGGTCACCATCCAACTTTTATATACTTGGCGTCGCTCCACTACCGCTTTGCTTGATATATGTACGTATAGCAATAAGAAATATAATACATTTTTACAATATATTATATTATAAAATAATAAAACCACTTAATTTATTATTTATATGCAATTATGTACAATTTAAAGTGATATTAATAATTAATTAGCAGTATTTAATATCAAAACATTAGTGTTTCTGTTTTGTAAAAAGTTATTGTAATGAAAGAAATAGAAAATAGTGATAAAAGACATAGTTATTGTAATGAAAGAAATAGAAAATAGTGATAAAAGGCATTCCGTAAAGTAAAAAAAGAGCTGTAAATTATTTAAAATCGTTTTTTCATAAATAAAGTTCTTGATTTCTCAAAATCTGTAATAAAACTTTTTTATATTCCTTTTTAACAACTAAAAATGCACTAGCAGCTAAGAATCACGTACCATTCATGTGTTGAGAAACAGAATCTTGTAAATCAGTATATAGATATAATTAATAGTATAATTGATCGCACTAAAATATAAAATCGAACATAATATAAACAGAACAAATAATATAATTTACAATTACCTAATATAGTTCAATTATAAAGAATTAATATGTATTTGTATAAATGTGTAATTGAGCCAAATTTTTTAAGCTCCACTTTTCCATGTGTATTTTCTTGTGAAACAAATTAACACCTTTTCTTAACAAACACGAACTGTATACAAAAATAATATTCATATAATACCAATAATATTATACAGTCTATAATAAGCGTATAGGAAATTTAATATCACATTTGCGAGGACACGACGCGTTTCTAGGATAATGTCGGGTTCGCTCGGCCAATCCAATGCTTTTATAGAGAGACTGCAAAGAATGTGAACTCATTGATCGCCAAATTAAGCCGGCAATCGACAAGTTAAATCCAAGAACTAATCGTTCGTTCAATCGAATGCCAGGCGGCTGTAGTCATTTGTTACACCACGTGGGGTATATAAAATACGCACGAGAAAAACATAAGATTTGTAAAAAAAATTATATACGTATATATATATTGTATATATATGTATGTGTATGTATGTATGTTGTCTGCAACTGCAACTGACTTAAGTTAGCCCCTTTTCTCCTTATATCTTGTGTTTAAAATTTTCAAGGGTATAATTTAAAATTTTTTAAATTTTGACTCAAGTTAATTTTATAAATTTCTAAAACAAATGCACGAAACTTGAAAAAAATAGTCCAACTTAATCATTTTCTCTAATCATGTCCTCGAGCAAAAAAAAAGCACTGATAAGAAAAAGCCGTCCTCACACGATGCATGATTTCCTGCATGATGGACTTGCATGCTGTTGTGTCTGCTCCGATGCATACTAGATCATCTCGCTCAATGCATCTTCATGCATTGAGCGAAGTATGCTACCATGCTTGATTTTTGTATTTGATGGGATGCATTATTTTATGCCTCGATTCCTTGCATGCATCAATCAAAATCTTAAAATCAGTAACGTGGTATCAAACTCTTCTATTCTGTTTTCTTCTTATGTTTATGTTTCGTATGATATCAATTCGTTAGATGATTATACAATTAGTAATTATTAGTTATCAATCATTCACATGTATAGGCGTCACTATACAGGGTGTCCCGTAACGCTTAATTAATATTTCAAGGCGTGAAAGAGAATGAAATTTTGAACTAAAAGTTCCTCTTTCAATTTTGGCTCAGACCATTATTTACAGAGTTATTAACGAATAAAGTTAATCAAT